ATGAATGACAAAACTTGCCAATCTAATTCTTTAGGCTTAAGAAGATTGAACAGGGGAAGCTGTTGTACCCCAAAATTTGCTCTCTCATTTATCAAGAATTTACTCACAAGATCTCCTTTGGCTCAAGACTGCACTAGGGTTGATCAGCTCAAGACACCTCCTTAAGCACTGATGACCAAAATTAGGGTTTGAGATTGCACAAGGATATTTGAACTTTCAATGCTTCATATGACTTTCATGGATCATTATGGACCCCCAAGATTACTCATGTGAAGTTTCAAGCCTTGGATCACACTTTTGCTCAATCAATTGAGCAGTTAACCTAAAAATCAGCTATATTGGGGAAAAAGTGAACTATGGCCAATTTACTGTCAAACTTCATAATTTTTGATCCATATGAACAACTTAAACTCATAGGTATCATTTGATCAGGTTTGGACCACAACTCCTCAAGAAATTTGATCAAATCTCCAAAAGGGCAAAATGGTCAAAATTAGGGTTTTGACTAGGAAAGGGCAATTTCTGATTTTTTTTGACCTAGCAAATGGTCAATTGGTTTAAGGAATGATCTCAAGAGTCGAATTGCATAATTTTGACCTAATGACATGACTCAAAACATTGTTCAAGTCCAATAGATTGACATATGAATTTTCAGTCAACTGATCAAAAGTCAACTGTACACTGAAAAGTCAAACTTTGACTTTTTGGTCAAAATTTAATGTCAAATATCACAATTCATCAAAGCATGTAAAAATATGAATTTCATTCATCAAGAAATCAAAAATTCAAGATTTCATTTTGAAAAGTTAAAATTTCTAAACTTAGAAATTTTTCTAATTGTTGGAAATTTCTTAATTTTTCATAACTTTGAGCAAAATTTTCACCATGATGCAAGATGATTCAAGAGAAACTTCCAACATGAAAGTTGTAGATCTCCATGAAATCTACAAATTTTATTTACACAACTCCTTCCAAAAGTGCTTGTATCTCAAGTTATAATTTTAAGAACATGTGGTCATGAAACAAAACACTTAGTGAAATTTTTGCCCTAATTTGGTCAGGATTTTGACCCAACTTCATGGCACTTTTTCATATAGTTTCAAGGGGAATATTAAAAATCAATTCAAATACGGTTTGTATATCATATTGCAAGCTTTCCAAAATGTCCAAGAACTCCTTGAGATCATTTTTGAGTAGGGAGAATCGAAGAGATGAAGTTAGGGTTTTATCACTTGATTTACAAGTCATTTTATGATGAACCAAATTCAAAATTCAAAGTATGCTGCATAACCTCTACTTTGCAGGCCTCAAACTTGTTAGGCACTCCATAATTAATGGCTTGCGCAACTGTTAGAGGTCTCATTTCAAGCATTCAATGCAAGACCATGCTTTATATCCATTTTTGGAAAAAAGTGTAAATTGCCATTTTGATAAAGTGATTTTTTACACAAAACTTGTTATTGAGCCTTGCACTTGTTCTCTTCTGATCATACAAGTCCTATAACTCATAAGAAACTTGTTAGACACTTACAATCACTCAGCCCATGCTTGTACCTCACATTGAAACTTGGTTTCCCTCTTTTCTTCAAAATCAAGTAACCTAGCAATTAGCTGAAAACTTGTACTTCTGATTGTCCAAACCACTCCAATCCTTTTGCTTATAGATATACAAACCATTTTCCATAAAACACACGAAAGGCTTGACCCCAAAAAACACCTAGAGCTCAGAATCACATCTCATACCTCCATTTTCACATAAACTGACAAATAACTTTAAACTCATAACTCCCTCGTGCGTTTTCAAGCCTTTTGGTTCCTAAGGCTTCTAAACATCATTTAGAACTGATCTCACACCCTGTTACAAGACTGTAACACCATTAACATCATCCTCCATTTTCAAAAATACAGCTTTGCAAGTGGACTTCTCCAGAACTCCTCAGCCACTTCCAACTCAAGCTAAGCATCCCTTTAGCTTCCTGGGAACTTGAGGAAGCTAACCCAATCATTAGAACTCACTGAACGCTGCTCAAACTTCAAACCCGATACCCTCTTGCAAGGTAATTTTTCTAACTTTGGAACTTTTCATACAAGCATCATCAATGATTTATTTGTGAATGAAATATGTAGATATCATTTCCCTAAAGCTAACCATGTTCATAGTTTCCATTAATTTTGTTTGAGCTTAGAGAATTTTAAGATTGAAATTTCTGAGATTTTTAGGGTTCAGATTAGGGCCAATGAAATTTATGTTTGTCTTTGATCTATAGCTTTAATGCTTTACATTTCTGAAATCGTGAGAAAATTTGCTACAAGTTTCATGTTTACAGTTTTCATTTTTGTTGAGATTTGAACAAGTTACAGTTGGTCTGGCTGGAGGTTGAAGATGAAGTGTAAATCAGAGCGTGTTTTGTATCATATATTTATTGTTTTGCTTATGTTAACGGATGTATAGCCACCCCAGTGGTAGAAGCGCGTGCCTGTAACTTGAGGGACCTGGATTCGAGCCATAATGGTACCCTTTTGATTTTTTACATTTTTCTTTGCATTCTGACTTTGTTGACAAGGAGCCTGGGCCTCTTTGGGCTTTGTTTTTTTTTTACTTCCTAACCCCGTGCAGGCTATTCACACCCCTGGCCCAGTTTTTATTTTCTTTTCTTATTTTTATTTTACTTGTTTTCTTAATTATTTTTCTAATACTAGAAAATCATAAAAAATATATAAATAGTAGATTTATATTTTGACTTAGTTTATTTGTTTTTATCACAAAAAATATATTTTATTTAACCATACTTTACTTATTTTACTAATTATTCTTGTAAATTTAATTAAAACTAGGTTATTATTTATTTTCTTTTACACCAATTAAAATATATTATTTTAATATTTAAAAATACCAAAATATTTTATAATACCATAAATTATTTTCAAGACAAAAAATACAAAAATTACCTTTCTTAAACTTAATTTCCTTTTAATCAATTAATAGATTTAGGGTTTTATTTAAAAACTTTTCCTAGTAAAATTAGGTTTACTTGTTTTACTTTTAATTAATTATTTTTTCCCTTTAATTAATTAGGTTAAACTCAAATTCCCTTTTTCCTAAAAAAATCCAAACAAAAAGATCCATTTTCTTTGCATTTACATTCTTGCATATTTATTTATTTTGTACATTTATTTATTTCCATTCTTGTACCAATTCAATATGGTTGTAATAGATTAACTAGGTTTATTTTCTTGCAACCCCCATTTACAATTTGTACTCCCCCTCCCACAAGTATTGTAATAGCGTAGCAACTTTATATTCCGCAATTTATCGCTTTATATACAATTGCTAGTAATTAGGGTTTGTATGGAAAGACTAAAAACAATACTTAGAAAATCCTAATTTAAAGACAAAATCAAGCATGAAAACAATACACTTGCACACAAGCACCCCTAGGGTAAATCCACTTGGTTGCCTTATAAAATGGTCATATTACGCATGTGAAGTATCTTAGCAAAAACAAGTAAAATACAAGATCATAGTCCCTCGATGACACTAGCTATGTTGCCTTTCAAATGATCTTAGTCCCTAAAAGAGAATGCTAAGATACCTTGCAACATTGCTAATCATGGTTATACGATGACCCACACCCGTCCCGTTTACATCCAAAGATATGGTTACTTACCAAATCAATGGTAAGATGACAATATCAAAGGAATGAGGAAATGAACATAAAAGACTTTTGAGTAGGTAAAATGCTCTTAATTACTTGCTCAATTTCAAAACATCCTTGCTATTTTCAAAACAAACACCTACACTTTCAAAACCTCTTACAAACTTGAAAACATTTTCAAAAGACCAACATCTTTGTATACATTCTTACGAATGAGAATCATTACAAAATTTGCCTAAACAATGACCTATTTACAAAATACTTTCAAAAACCACACAAAGCAAAATTTCAAACAAAAGCAAGTGATCTAGAAAGTAACTAAGAGCCCATGGAAAACCATTGATGAAAAGAATGCTAATACCTTTCCTTTTCATAATCTACCCCCCGAACTCAAGAAATAATCTCACAGGTCTTTCCTGTGCTTTTTCACCTTTCCTTTTGGATAAAAGAAAAGTCGGTGGCGACTCTTTCTAACCGCAACATTTGCGATCAAACGCAAAATCTTCAAGTTAGTTCCACCGTATCACACAAACCCCTCAAGGCCTCGATAATCAGGGACAACCTTCCAAGATGCAAATGTTTAGGCAGTGTGTACCAAGTTCATCTACTGCACATAGGGTCCAAATTCCCCTTCAAGCAACTTCAAGTACAAACCTTTTCAAGCTTCGAATACTTGGGGAAATCTATGTCATGTTCATGTTGAGGTATGAGTTCTTTCTGAGGTTACTTCCTCCAAATCCCTGAAATTGAGGAGCACCCCTTTCAAAATTTGAATGGTGGGGTAAACCATTGCAAGGCTCAATCAAAATCGGCGCGAAATCCTGACGCGTGACTTGAAACAAAGATGTTGATGACCCAACAATGTAGGAACTGGGTTTCCAAACATGAAAATCCTGATAGCATTAACGTCAACAAACTTATCCACATTAGAAAATAAAAACAACCCGTAAGCAAGTAGAGAAAAGATGGCCTAAAAAGCAACCGTACTCTTCATCCTGGCAAATTAACGAGCTTTCTACAATAAGAACTGAGCTGGTAATCCTCTAATGCAATTTGTGATTTTTTATGATAAATGTACTCTCCCTCTTCTCAATTTTTGATCTCAAAATTATATAGACATCTCCTTAAGCCTTGTTTGGATAGTGTAATTGTTGATTTTTCGGCTTATTTCGTGCGTAATGCGAGATCAAACCTCAAGCTCATCACAATCGGTGCGAAATCCTGACGCGTGACTTGAAACAAAGATGTCGATGACAAAAAATTTGGCGCGGCACCAAAAGAACCATTCCGTTAAAGTTTTTTTACCCAAATAACCATCTTTCACAGTGTTGCTTATTGGAACAATCATCTTTCACAGTTCTTTTCATAGAGAAAACCCTTAATTCCATGAGTATAGATCTTATGACATATATGTATGCATGTTATGATGAAGTATAAGCCAATTAGGATTAAAATGAAGAGGAAAATTTTTTGAGTGCAAGACATAACAAAAATCAACCCTAATTGACTAACCAAATTTCCTAACCTTCTGACTACCATAACTACCAGCTGGAACAACCTAACTGTCAGTTCATCTTAACTACCTTAAACTATCTGTCTAACATTTAACAAGCCCTCATAACCAACAAAAGCCAACTATCAACTGAATCATAACCTCCAAAACTGAATTCAACTACCTACAACAAACTCGTAACTGCTTCACTCTCCATCCTTAGATCGTAAAACACAACCCCAAATCCAATGGCTCTCGGTGCTTGATCTGTAACTAAATTTCATCCATAACTACCTACATAAACTCAACTTCCCTTCATTCCCCGGGTTCACCTTTCCAAGATCCCTGCCATTTTTCTCTTCATCCTCAATATCCACCATTTTAATTCCTCACATCACAATCATCACCACTCTCAGAACCACATACATACACACACCAATTTTTATCTTCCACCTTCATCCTTCTCTCTGCAAACCATCATCACCATCACCCTTATTTTCCCTTGAACCTCCATTCAACACTCCATAACCATCAAACATTCGATCTATACTCTCTGAGCATCAAGCATCATCACATTGTAATACACTTCCCTCGACCTTCAAGATCGTTCAACACTGAGTTTATTTCTCAGCTTCTTTCACTCTTATCTCAACTCAGAAAACAACAAAAAGAGAAGATGAAGAAGAAGATTAGAGTAGAGGAAGAATGAAGTTGTGAACAAGAAGAGAAAGTCCCTTACTTGGATTCTCTTATTCCTATGGGTTTCTATTGATCAACTTCTTAGACTACCATTGCAAAAAACACCAAGGCATACCTCTTCCTTGTACGTAAACCTGGATCCCTCTATTCTCATCTTTTTCGCCATTTTCTTGTTGCTATGTTGAAGAGCTTGGCTATGTGAACGAAAACCCAAAACTCACGGCTCGATCCCACACACTTTCTCAATTTAATTTTTGTTTGTGTTTAGTTAGGGTTTCAGGATTCTTGTTAGATTCAGAGACAGAGTGATCGGAGACGGAGAAGAGAACAGCGTCGCTGCAATTTGGAAGAGGGAAGAAGAACTTCTTCCTCGAAGAAGCTCAAGGGTTACAAATGTTATAACCCTAACTCAATCCGAACAGCATCGTTTCACTGCCTTTTTTTTTATCTTTTAATTTTTGTTAAGTCATTTTAATAAAGAGGAAAATCATTAATGAAATTAACAATAATCTGAAGATAATGGCTGGGCTTAAATTTCGTTGGGCCATAAGTGATTAAGACTGCTAGTCACACCCCCTGAAAGCCTATTTACTTTTGTTTGTTTGATCTAGCCCTTACCAACAAAAACACTTTTATATTTGGCCTCTACTCCAGATTCTGGACCATACTCCTAGAACTCAACTTCACACCCCTGATCTTGTTTTTCACCCCTTTTTATAATTTCCCTTTAATTTTCTTTTCACACCTTTTTTAAATAGATAAAGTACATGATAAAAACATTAAAAAATATATTAGACTTTAGGAATTAATTAAGAATTTACCTTCCCCCTTTTAATTCTTTTTGTCATTTTAATCAATAATTGTTCATTTTCATGGCATGTGTTCGTCTGTCAGATATGGTATTATCTTGGTATGAATTGTGGATGATTTTGATTTTTATACTTGCTTGAATTGAATTAAATTGAATTAAATAGACTTTAATCCTTTGATTAAATTGAATTAAATGGATTTTAAGTTGTAAACCATGCATGATAATCGTAGTTAGGGTTTCCCTTCAAACCTTAGGACCATAAGCATGACAAATTCTAGAATTGAGATCCCATTTTGTTTAGTCTTTCTCTTTTGCATTCATTTTAAAACTAAAACTTTTTTTTTTCTTTCAAACTTCAAAACACTTAATAAATAAATGATGAGAGTCACACTTCTACGAGTTCTAAGCAATGGAAATGATAAGCGGGTTTTTACTCGACCTTATCATTCTTTCATCCTTAGTGTTTTGTGTGGTTCAAATCTCAAGACGCTTTTCATTAATAATTGGAGAAATGGTAAATATCTCACTCTTGAGGTCAATTATCTATTATTCACAGCAAAATACAAACCAATCAAATGTGTCATCTTTGCCTTGAGAGCGTAACTCAAAACCGTTTCAAAAAAGGGTTCGTCACCCATACAAACACGCAACAAACAAAACTTTTGAGCCTCACTATGACGCTCTGATTCCTTAAAAAGGATACGTAGGTGTGATCGGTGGATCTGGAACTGACTGTTTAACGCTGGTTTCGCGAAATGTCGCGGAAGCAAGAGTCGCCACCGTCTTTTATTTTCTCCAAATGGAAAGGACAAAAGCACAGAAAAATTCCTTAAAGAGATTGCTCTCGGTTCGGGAGGTAGGTTATAGAAAGGGAAGGTGTTAGCACCCTTTCTATCCATGGTTATCCATGGGCTCTTAGATACTTGCTCAATGTGTTTTCAAAATTGTTTGTTTGCTTTTCAATGTGGGTTTAAAAAAAGTTTCTTTGAAAAATTTCAGTTCGACTCGTACGTCAGAGTGTTTGAAAAGTTTGTTTTGAAAGCTTTTGAAAATGTGTTGGTGTGAAAAGTATTTTTGTTTGAAATTAGAGCAAGTATCCTTGAGAACCTACCTACCCTAAGGAATTCGTCTGTGTAGATGTCCTTTAAAGTAGTGCCATCCCACCATTGAGAGGTAGGTAGCACCACCGTTGGAGGTGTTCGGGTCAATTCGAGTTTGTAGGCACATGGTGATCACCAGAGCAATAGGAAGACACCTTAGAAGCTACCCTCATGCCAGGTTCCCGGATCATGAGGACTTACTAAGACGTCCTCTACTCGACGATCACCTTTCGAAAGGCAACAGTGAGGCGTACCCTAGGGGTGGTGTGTGCGAATCGTGTGTTGTTTTCATTGCTATTTGTCTTGTCATGTTTATTGGTGTTCTACGCTTGATTTTAATTAGGGCCATTCATTCTTGCATGCTTATTTAACAGTTTAATATTTGCGGGAAAATAAATCTAAGGCTATTACAAAGGCGCGGGTCCACATCGCCAAAATTAAACCGGACCCGATTTAACGGAAAATAAATAAAGCAAAGGAAAAGTGCGAAAAGTATAAATTGTTACAACGCTTTGGGAGAGGTACATAATTATAATAAACGACATAAAATAAAATACGCGAAATTAAAGAAACGAGGGCGTTGGACCCTTTTTGCAAAAAATTAAAGTTAATGAATTAATTAATTAGAATTAATGTGGAATTAAAAATTAAAGTCAAATGTTTTTGGTATTTTGTATTTTTTAGGATTTAAGGAGAAAAAAGAATTAATTAAAATTAAAATGAAATGTTAAACCTAATTCTAATTATTTTTAAGTTATTAAGAAAAATATTGAATTTTTAACCTAATTTAAACCTAAATTATTTATATACAATTTAATTATAAAATAAATAAATAATAATAATATTATGATAGAAAGGAAAAATTAAAAGGAATGGAAATTGTTAATTAAATCTAAATTCTATATTTTTATTATTTTATTATGAAAAGAGTTAAAGTTGCAACCTAATTAAAACTAATAATTGCATGTTAATTTAATTATGAAAATATTAAAATAAAATAATCTATTATATTTTTATCTTTTCCTGATTTTTCTGTATTTTTTATATATTGTAAAAATAATGAATTAAACTAAAACAATAAAACAAATAAAAATAATAATTAAAAAAGATATGAGAAAAATAAAAACACTTGCAAACCAGGGTGGGGGTGTAGTCCCAATTTGTGAGGTGTTGATGGTAAAGCCTGGCCCATTAAGATTCAGATTCGTTGACTTTTGTGCAAACATGTGATGCGTTTGACTATGGTACATGGTACTCCTTGGATCTGGGCCATTGATCTGGTGCCCTTGGACGCGTGGAGGTTGATTGCTGGGCGTGTATGATGATCCTGGCTTTGGGCGCTGCATATGAACATTTGATGAAAAATAATATTGGGATAACGTAGACCTGGGACTTGAACCCAGGTCATGAGGGTTACAAGCACATACACCTGCCAGCTGAGCCATTAAGTTTCAATTAATATATTATAGTAAATAAATAACAAAAAGCAAAACCAACGCGTAGTGGAGAGAAACGCGCGCAATTCAAACCAACGAACCACTGATTGACACGATGTCATCTTCATCCTGTTCCTGTAATGTAAAACATATAGGCCACAGTTTTTATTGCGTGGTTTTAGAAGGGTTTACAGAAAATAGCGACTAGGCCGTCTCTAAACATAAATTAGGCGCGAGTATACGAATCTCTTCGTCCAGATGCGTTGATTGCAATGGTGGTACTGGGGATGTCCAATTTTTCCTCTATTAAGAATCCCTAATTTGAAGCTCAGGAAACCCTAACATTCAATCATGGTATAATCTCGTATGGTCAATAAAAACGCAATTAAAGGTGCTGGTTAGCTTTAAAACTTCAATATGAACAAGAATCAATAAACAAAATTCACAAATAACGCATATAATAGAATGTATGATTATGCAATTTGTTTGATACAGTTGCGGTTCTAGGTACCAATTCCTTGCGTTTGGATGGATGATATTGATTGGCACACGTTCAGAGAACCACAATGAAGCTATTGAGACAAGAATGAAGGCTTGAATCGACCTCTAGAGTGCTTTTCAGTTTTGAACTTTTTGATGAAAATTCCAAGTTTGATATCTCTCTTTCTGCGCAGCTTAAGGTCTAATGCCATTAGGTTTGTGTTCTAGGTTATGTACTGAGGCAATTAGGTCAAAAACATGGATCAAATCTCTTGGAATTTATTGTTTTGAATATTTGATTTCCTTAAGGATCTTCCATATCTTTTCCATGTGCATTTTTGTTCAATCATGCCAATCAGCTCCAAATCTTTCCCCATTTGTATTTACACGAAATATTGAGTATCAAACATTCATAAAAAGATTGGTTAAGGCAATTTAGATATTTTTCATGTATTTAAATAATTTAAATGAATTAATATAAATAATAATTCAAATAAATAAATAAAAAATGAGAAAATACT